AAAAAAAAAAAAAAAATTATTCATGGCCGGGCGCGGTGGCTCACGCCTATAATCCCGGCACTTTGGGAGGCCGAGGTGAGAGGATTGCCTGAATTTGAGGCCACCGTGGGCAACTTGGTGAGACCTCATTTCTACAATAAATCAAAAAATTAGCCGGATGTGGTGGCGCGCTTGTAGTTCTAGCTACTTGGAAAGCTGAGCCCAGCGGGTCGAGGCTGCCTGTCCGAGACTCCGACTCAGAAATGAATGAATGAATGAATACATACATACATACATACATGACCTACCTACCTAGCCGGGTGCCTGGGCCCACGGGTTCCAGAACAGCCTGGACAACTTGGCGAGACCTCATCTCTACAATAAATCAAAAAATTAGCTAGGTGTGGTGGCATGCACCTGTACTTCCAGCTTCTTGGAAGGCTGAGGCAGGATTGCCTGAGCGCAGCAGGTCGAGGCTGCTGTGACCATGAGTGTGCCACTGCCATCCAGTCTGGGCGACAGTGAGACTCCAACTCAAAAAAAAAATTAATCATAAAAGCAGTGCTAAAAATAAGGAAAGGTGACTACCCATGGTCTCACTGTCCAGAGATGACTGTTAATCCCTTAGAGAATTTCCTTTCATATAATATAATTTTAATGTTTTCTTTCCTTCTCTTTCCCCTTTCCCTCTCCCTTCCTTCTCAGACTTGACATATATGCTGGCCATTCAGTTCTATAGCTGGCCCTTTTCACAGAATTTAGCATAAACGTCTTTCCATGTCAATAAGTATTCACTTACATCCTTTGTAATAGCTGCAAAGTTTACCATGTTATGGCTGTACCTTAACTGGTTTACCAACTCCTTACTAATGTACCTTGCTTGTAGTTTTTTTTTTTGGCTACTACAATGCTGCTGGAATATCCCTATAGCTAAATGTGCAGTTTTCCATATGTTGTGTTACTAGCAATGGAATTAATGGGCCAAAAGATATGGCCATTTTTTTTTTTTTTTTTTTAGAAAGTAGGATTTGTTCCAGCTACTTGGGAGGCTGAGGCAGAAGGCTCCCCGGAGCCCAGCAGGTCGAGGCTGCGGTGGCCAGGAGCGGCCACTGCACTCCAGTCTGCACTCCGATACAGTGAGACTCCAAGTCAAAAAAAAAAAAAAAAGCAGAATTTATTGAAAGAACAGAAAAACTCCCAGAGCGGGAGGTGACCTGAGAGGGTTGCCCTATGGTCTTTCTTAAGAGTTTTGATACACACTTACAAATTGCCCCCCAAGAAGATGGTCCCAATTTACGCTCAGATTTGTTGCCTTTTGGTGAAAATGAAAGCATGGCCATAGTTCTCCCATCCCTCATAAGCCTCTATCCACTCCTATACTTCACTCCTTGCCCTGAGTTTCCTCCAACCCTCTCACCTCCAACTTTACTGATAGTCTACCTTCTGATCTGAGGCCCAGCTCCTAGCCTATCCTGGACTGGAATTCAGAGTCCCTCTTCATCCCCTTGCTGTCATGCTTACAGCTTCCTTAAAATTCCAGTTTGAATGTGTAATTCAGGGGTCTTGGACTCCTGCTCTAGAGAAATTATGTTAAGTTAGGGATGATGCAATATGGTCTGTGAATTTTAGGCAAAGCAGTTTAAAACTGCCCTTAAAAGATAACATTAAGCCGGGCTTGGTGGCTCAGCCTTTAATCCCGCGCCTTGGGAGCCTGAGGTGAGTGGATTGCCTGAGCCTGAGGGTTCGAGACCCGCCTGGGCAACTTGGCGAGACCTGATCTCGACAATAAATCAAAAAATTAGCCGGGCATGGTAGCACGCGCCTGTAGTTACAGCTACTTGGAAGGCTGAGGCAGAAGGATTGCCGGAGCCCAGCAGGTCGAGGCTGCGGTGGCCAGGAGCGGCCACTGCACTCCAGTCTGCACTCCGACAGAGTGAGACTCCAACTCAAAAAAAAAAAAAAAAAAAGAGAGCATTAGATGGGGGTGGGAGTTGGGTAGGGAGGGAAGCACATAACATCAATACAGGTACCTGATCTCAAACCAGGTGAAGTGAGGACTAAAGAGAGGCCCAAATTTACCCGTGATGACCACTTGTATGCCCAACCCTGAATTGTATCCTACATCTTTAAAACAGAAAGAAAGTTGTTTTTAAAAAGATAGCATTAGAAAATACAAGTACCGCTGGAGGTGGTGTCCCGTGCCTATATTCCCACCACTCCAGACGCTTGGGTGGGAGGATCACTTGATCCCCAAAATTCGAGTCCAGCCTGGGCAACAAAGCGAGATCCCATCTCAAAAAAGAAAGAAAGTACAAAGAAAAGAAAAGTACTGATCACTTGAAACAAAAGTTTTTGCCAGCTGACTAGAGAACCAGCCTGTTTCCTGCCAGTCATACCCACAGAGATGGGGCCTTGCGGTGCTGCCCCCTTGTGGTCCCGTGTGGTGTAAGACTTTGCTGAGCTAGGGCTTCTCAACTCTGGTCTTTTAAACCTCCACGGAACCATCCAAACATATCTGATTTTTTTCTCTTCCCCCCCCCCGGCCCCGGTTTTCTTTTTTTGAGTTGGAGTCTCACTCTGTCGCTCACGGCCACCACAGCCTCCACCTGCTGGACTCGCCATCTTTCCGCCTCAGCCTTCCAAGTAGCTGGAACCACAGGCATGTGCCACCATGCCCAGCTAATTTTTGATTTGTTGTAGAGATGAGGTCTCGCTGTGTTGCCCAGGTTGGTCTCAAACCCGTGGGCTCAGGCAGTCCTCTCATCTCTGCTTCCCAAAGCGCTGGGATTACGGACTGAGCCATTGCACCTGGCCTGATTTTTTTTTTTTAAGAGAATATCACTCTTGCTCAGACTGGACGGTGCAATTATGGCTCATTGAAGCCTCGAACACCTGGGCTTAAATGATCCTCCCACCTCAGCCTCCCAAGTATCTGGGATTAACAGGTGTGAGCCACCATCCCAGTTAATTTTCTTATTTTTTGTAGAAATGGGGTCTTGCTATGTTGACCAGACTGGTCTCAAACTTCCAGACTCAAGGAATCCTCCCTCCTTGGCCCCCCAAAGTGCTGGGATTACAGGTGTGAGCCAACACACCCAGCCCAAACAGGAAAAATTAATGTATTAACATTTTATTCATCCAAACAATATATCAAAAATACATTCATTTCAACATGCAATTGATAAAATAATAATGAGATATTTTGCATATCCCACCATGCTAAGTCTTCAAAACCCACTGTATATATTTACACTTGGCAGCACATTTCAATTTGTTTTTGTTTTTTGCTTTTTGTTTTTTTTTGAGTTGGAGTCTCACTCGGTCACCCAGACTGGAGTGCAGTGGCCGCTCCTGGCCATCGCAGCCTTGCCTGCTGGGCTCCGGCAATCCTTCCACCTCAGTCGTCCGAGTAGCCGGAATTACAGGCGCGCGCTGCCAGGCCCAGCTAAGTTTTTGATTTTATTGTAGAGATGAGGTCTCACCTGCCCAGGCGGGTCTCAAACCCACGGGCTCAGGCAATCCACTCACCTCAGCCTCCCAAAGGCGCAGGATTACAGGCTGAGCCACCGAGCCTGGCTTGTTTTTGTTTTTTTAAATTGGAGTCTCACTCTGTCACCCAGGCTGGAGTGCAGTGGCCACTCCCGGCCACTGCAGCCTCGACCTACTGGGCTCCGGCGATCCCTCCGCCTCAGCCTTCCAAGAAGCTAGAACTACAGGCACGTGCTACCACACCCTGGTAATTTTTTGATTTATTGTAGAGCGAGGTCTCGCCAAGTTGCCGGTCTCGAACCCACAGGCTCAGGCAATCCACTCACCTCAGCCTCCCAAAGCGCGTGATTACAGGCCGAGCCACCAAACCCGGCTACATTTCAATTTGTAATAGCCACATTTCAAGTTCCCAGTAGCCACTTGTGGCTGGTGACTACAGTATTGCCCATCATAGCTCCAGGGTATCTCACGCTATCTCAAAACCAGATCAGTGATGAAAGGCTTCACTGAAAGGCTGGTGGTTACTTTTTAAGGGGTCAGAATGCCTTTGAAGGGGTGAGAAAGTAGGAAGGAGATGACAGCCGGCCCACATATCCTTCCCACGGGAGGTGACAGGGCAGGCGACTCCATACCGCCCCCCTCTCTCCGCCCCACTGCTATCTTGCCCTGTGCAGGTGGCAGAGGGAGAGGAATGGTGTGTACATGCTGGGCAAGTGCTGGGACCAGAGGGGGTCCGAGGAGGTGTTTGACCCCTCACTGCTTTCTACCTTCTTTAGCTTGTGGGACATTTGATGATTCTTTCCTTTTGGTTTTGAGTGCTGGTAATCATGTGTAGGGTGACAGGAAAAGTTCCACGACACCCGTATTCAAGCTCTTGCCTCATCATCTTATAGGTTTTTATGTTTACAGAGACAGG